CTTTGTTAAAGTGATTTTAAAAGAAAGAAAACAAGAACATGGTTCTTTAATAATATTTTAATTAGGACTGAGATGTGTTTAAAAAGAAAAAAAAAATATGTATTTGAAAAATGGTATTTTTGACCCATTTAGTAATTATAGGGGCATTTCTGGACCAAAGTATTGACTGCAAGACATTTTTTAACCAAAGTATTGATGGCAACGACATTTTTGAGCGAAACTATAAACGGATGACATTTTGTTCCTTTCACAAAGTTTAAGAGCATTTTTTATCCTTTTTCCTTTTATATATTAAGTTATTTTATTACTAAACAAACATGAAAATGATAGCTATTTCTATTTAGCGACAAATTAATAACGAGTTATTAAAAAGAGTTCTTAGCTCCGAAAATTTTGACGATGGATGAATAATGAAGTTCAAAGTTAAATTCATTTTTTTTTCTTGTAGTATTTGTTGTTAAATGAGGTATGCATTTTGGTCGCGTGCATAGTTTACCAAATAAATCCATAATCTACCAAATAATTAGGATAAATTTTTAATTTTATAAAAATAAATTTTAAAAATATATATCGGGTTGTATTTAATAAATTTATGCATTAATTAGTTATGAATCAGGTTGAAAATTAACAAACAAGTAAAAAGTTTCAACTTTAAAACTATTATATATACGACTCTTATTGAAACTAAATTAGTTCCAATAACTTGATTAGCAAACCATAAGGTATTCCAACGATCAGATTAACTATGCATAATTTTTTTAATATCTTCCCTATCGTATGATTTAGATTTCTCTACGAGTCTCATCTTGATTAATAGATTTCCACTTGATTATATGATTTAAATTTCTCTTATTTACTTAATTTATTTTTCACATTGTAGAATAGTGGGATAAATCTCTATAGAAATTTAGCGAATTTTTACCAAAGTTATATGCAAGTACCAATGATTTCATGTTCGAATTTTTAGTTGTGAATTTTAATGACATATACGAATATATATTAAAAATTAACTTAATTATACTGATGCTAAAGAGAAATCAAGATGATTGAATGGTTCCAACTTTGGTCATAAAAATAGACCAATCAAAAAAATGGTATTAACTTTAAAATAACTGGCTGAACCGAACCATGGACACCCCTAATCTTTTCACATCCAAACAAAAAAATAAAAACAAAATTTTGAAAATTTTCTCATGTTCTTCCAATTCATTAAAAATCAGAAGTACAAAAAGTAGAGGTAGTATGAAAGGGACGTATCGATTGCAGTAAAATAGAGGAAAGATGAAGCACCTAATTGAAAAGTAAATAAATCTAAGAGTTTTTCAATCGTTTGTTAAAAATACGCACCATTTGAAGGCATATTGCTTGCCTATTATGTTGTTTCATAAGGAAAAAAAGATCAAATTAATACTAAGGTCTTTTGTTTTCGAATACTTCTGTTGGCAGAGAGTGAGCTTCACAAAGTACGTCAACCATATGGAGTGAGTAGATGGTATCAGGCTGCCCCTGAGAACGAGCTTCACAAAGTACGCCAACCATGGGGAGTGGGTAGATGGTATCAGGCTGCCCTTTGAGAACGAGCTTCACAAAGTACGCCAACCATGGGGAGTGGATTCATGGTATCAGGCTGCCCCCGAGAACGAGCTTCACAAAGTACGCCAACCATATGGAGTGGGTGTATGGTACAATGATGCTGCTAAGAAAGATCTTAATGACAATCACCCAGTGACGCCATACTTCTTTGAAACAGATTTACATCAAGGGAAAAAAATGAATCTTCAGTCTCTCAAAAACTACAATCCAGCACCCATTTTGCCACGCAAAGTTGTAGATTCCATCGCTTTCTCATCGGACAAAATTGAGGAAATTCTTAATCACTTCTCTGTTGATAAGGACTCAGAACGTGCTAAAGACATCAAGAAAACAATCAAAACGTGTGAAGAGCCTGCGGGTAACGGAGAGGTAAAACATTGTGCCACTTCTTTGGAATCTATGATTGATTTCACCTTATCTCACCTGGGAACAAACAATATTATAGCAATGTCCACTGAAGTAGAGAAGGAAACTCCAGAGGTGCAAGCATATACCATCGAAAAAGTGGAAGAGAAAGCAAATGGCAAAGGTGTTGTATGTCACAAAGTAGCTTACCCATATGCAGTACACTTTTGCCATGATGTAGGAAGCACTAGGACATTTATGGTGTCTATGGTGGGTGCTGATGGAACAAAAGTTAATGCAGTATCAGTCTGCCATGAGGATACTGCATCCATGAACCCTAAGGCATTGCCTTTTCAGTTGCTCAACGTTAAGCCTGGAGACAAGCCTATTTGCCATTTCACTTTGGACGATCAAATTGCCCTGTTTCCTTCTCAAAACGCAGTTCTTCAAGTGGCTGAAAACTAACATGAAGAACGTTCAGTCATTACCTGCTCCTTTGTTGCAATAGTCCCAATGCTTCATCTGAAAATGTATCTCCCTGATGTAAATACCGTTTACTGCAATGTTTTGTGTAATAATGCATGCCATGTTGCAAGTACTGTTTAACTGTGTTAATCACAGTTCATCATGCACGTTGTTTGCATGTGTGGATGAAAATGTTTGGCTTGTATTTCAAATATGGTTGATGAATATATGTGGTAATGGAGATTATGACATCTTGTTTTCAAATAGATTTAAGAGTCTTTCTTGCAATATTCCTCAACACAGAATCAAGGGACTATGTAGAGTGAATTGGTGTAATTTGAAATAGAAAAGAATAAGTGGTCAGTTGTCTCAGTTCGGGTTACAATACAAGCAATCGAACACCCGCATGAAGTACCACTGCTATATAATAGACTTCAATAATCTAGATTCGCCTTACCATCAAAACTCCTTTGATTGTCTCCCTCGAGCACCAAGCAGATTCAATGTGCCAGAAATTTTATCCATGCACCTTTCCGATACAAACACCACAAGCAGATTCAAAGTGCCAGAATTTTTATCCATGCACCTTTCCAATACAATTTTCATGTCTCCTCTGCAGGATCGATCATTAACCAAATGACAACCTTTCTCTAGTTCTCGCATAGCACAGTAACAGTAACTTCCAATGAGGTCTTCTGAGCAATGATAACAACCATTCTGGGTGAGCTCTATATTTTCAAATTTGACTGCCAGGAAAGCTCCTGCAACTGTGGCATGCCTTCAGACCCCAACCCCTTGAGGTTGATCTATCTCTTCTCACTGTACGACGTGATTGGATGTGGATCTTCCAGGTCCCAGGTTGTTCCTCCATAAGAGAGACAAAAAAACAGCAAGTAACATTCTCAAACACCATTAACCAATTCCACATGCATTAGATGTCAGGGAACATATAGCAGAAAATGCACCAGAAGACATTCAATATCCTCGCACGACATTTCATAGAAACCCGAAATGTTCCTGGAGATTCGCATTAACTAAATTTTGAGGGGTTAGCCAATGGAAAAGTAATTATCCTATGCTTATTGCTTTCCTGTAAATTTCTTTTTCCCTTGTCTTTTGGGTTTTAGGGGACCAATAACCCCATTGAAATCATTCAAGGCACAACTACAGAGCATTAATCACCTCACAAGGTTCGTAGCCCAGGGCCAACACAAGCTTGAATAATGAATATGGCTCCAGTAGGATTTGAAATTTGATCATAAAGGATTAAGCACCTAGAAGGCTTCCACCACTTGGACCAACTCCTTGGTTCTCTTGATAGGTATTACCCTGCCATTAATTGACACTTCAATATTAAGCATCCGCTTTCTCTGAGATCCAGGAGAATGAGGTAGAACCCTTATATAATCATCATTAATTAAGCACATTCTCCCTGTAAATGCTTGTCAGCTTACAACACGATGAAGCATCATGCTCTGGAGACAATCAGGAAAATCTCATCAGCATAGTCTTAACATCTCAGGCTCTCAAAAATATTGAAAGCGGCCTTGGTTCTGAGCACCCTCATCACAATATTACTTACTTGAATGTCACAGTTCTACAAATTTATCAGAGCACCAACAAGTGCAGATTTGTTCAATAAAGTAAAGAGTCTCTTCCTCTGTCCTTCCCACTTCCTTCAAGTAACCTAATCCATCAATCAGATCCTTTGCTTGTACAGAAATTGTGAGATTATGACTGCCAACAAAGAACACATTATAACTTTGATGACCAGCTAATTCACATGAAGTTATACAGCTGCATCCCATGTGAACATCATTTGCTTGGTCTGTTAGATAAAGGTCTTGCTTGAGAGGAAACTGCTTCACCGAAATAAAGATAATAGTCAGAATTAAAATGCCATAAAGATGCATAGAATGCATCAACAATAAGACACCCGAGAAGCTTCAGGTTGTTAGCATGATTGGATAGATTCTAAATATCTGTACATATCTATGTTATAACTCTAAATATTTGTGTAATGATGATAGGAGATAGCATAGATTAATGTAGCATATTTTCAGAGATATTACAATTAGGAATAGCATATATTTAGGGATATATAGCAGATTTTTAGGCATGTAAATCAGAATTCTTTCTATTTAATGGAAGAACTCTCATTTGAGAGAACTCATTCAGCAAAATTGACATGGTATTAGAGCCTTTTTCAGTGCTTTGATTCTTAGTGTCTTTCATCTGTGGTTTCTTTCAGAATTTTTTTTGAAAGTTTTGGTTCAGCTTACTGTTTTTTAGTCAACAGTAAGTCCTAAGTATCTTGGAATTTTAGGCATTTTGGAATCTCAGTCTTGGTCATTTTGGTTATTTTGTATCATTGCATTTCTATCTTCCTTAACTTGTCAAGAACATGGCGTCATATCAGTTTGAGTCCTTCTATGTTCGTTTCACAGGAAAAAATTACTCTGCCTGGGAATTTCAATTCCAACTATTTGTCACTGGAAAAGAATTATGGGGACATATAGATGGAAGTGATCCTACTCCTACTGATCCTACAAAGCTCGATCAATGGAAGGTTAAAGATGCTCGGGTGATGACATGGCTTTTAGGGTCAATTGACCCTCTTATTGTTCTTAATCTCAGGCCATACAAGACAGCAAAGGCCATGTGGGATTATTTACAAAAGGTTTACAACCAAGACCATAGCGCAAGGCGCTTTCAGTTAGAGCATGAAATTGCTATGTATTCTCAAGGAGGTCTCTCTGTTCAAGATTATTTCTCTGGATTTCAGAACTTATGGGCTGAATTTACCGATATCGTTTATGCTACAATACCTTCTGAATCTATCTCCATCATTCAAGGAGTTCATGAACAAAGCAAGCGAGATCAATTTTTGATGAAATTACGATCTGATTTTGAAAATGTTCGCTCCAACTTGATGAACCGTGATCCATCTCCATCGTTGGATGTCTGTTTTAGGGAATTACTTCGTGAAGAGCAGCGTCTCTTCACACAAAATGCTTTTCATCAAGGAAATGTTGTCACTGTCGCATTTGCAGCTCAAGGGAAAGGAAAGGGCATGGATATGGCTAGAACTCAATGCTACAGTTGCAAGAAATATGGTCATATTGCTAGCAATTGTGGCAAGAAGTTCTGTAATTATTGTAAACAACAAGGACACATTATCAAAGAGTGTCCCACACGTCCTCAAAACCGTAGGGCAAATGCTTTTCAAGTTGGGA